CCTCTGTTGTTTCTCTGTGTGTTTTTCTGCATATTGTGTTGATGTAAATAAGATTCTGGGTTTTCCAAATGTGTGCATATTTTCCTCCATAGAGTCGATAGCTGCATGTTTGATGTCAGCATGTTCCTTACGCTGTCTTCTCACCTTTTTCCAACCAGGGATCGTGCAAGATTTAGCTGCTAATGCGATTAATCAGCTGCTTTCGGCCTCAGACTGGGCTGCACGATTAAACGCCTTTTCTTTCTGATCCTGTGAGCATGACTTGTGCTGCTGACACACCGCATGGCTGGACGCTCGCAGGCTGCTGGGCGTCTGCCGCTGGTCGTTGTGTGTTTTGTGTATGTAAATGTGCATCAGGGAGCATTTTCTCTGTATATCTCTGTCTGTGTTGTGTTCTCGTCGTGCACCCTGTTGGTGTGGTTGGGGTGGCTGTTGTCTCTCCTCGACACTCACTGCCCTTCTGAATCCTGCACACAAGCCTTCCTCCTCCTCCTCCTCCTCCTCCTTCTCGTTCCTCTCATCTCCTCTCCTTTCCTCTCCTCTCCTCCTATGTTGATGAGATACGGTGATTTCTCTTAGGGGAGGCGTCAGTCCATCCTAGTGCAGCCCCGTCTCGCGCCTGTCCCACCCCGAGTATCCAGGTAATAAACCAACCGGCAAACTCTCACTCTCCATCCATAACTGCTGCCTCTGTTCCACTCCTCCTGTCCTCTGTGTGCGTCCCTGTCCACACTGCAGGCCAACACACCAGCACAGCCCCGTTACTTCCCCATCCATCCTCTCAGAAGAAGAGGCCTGTCACAGAACGTTTGCACAGCGCTTACTGATGGTTCTGAGGGCGGACCTCCTGTTAGAGTGACAATAAAACATTTCAAATATTTAAAGCTGCAATAAGCGGCTTGGCAGCGAGAGGTGTTCATTTGAAGTATGTGCGCGCCGTAGCGCCCATAAATCACAGAATGCAATATCAGTAAGCTGTGCACAGAGCCGTGATCACTCTTTACCCAAGGACTGTAGCGTCCCAGAGACGGAGAACATTTAATGCATATTAATAGAACAACACTTGGAGCACACTTTGCGAGTCATGTCTGCACATTTTAAGGCATTTTAAAAAACAACTTCTCATGACACCAGACACCACACAGCGCCACCTAAAGACGACCGGTTTATCTCCTGATTCCTCTGCTGTTTGACCGACAAATGGATGACAAATTACAGGAAAAACTGGAGAAACAAGGGAAGAGTCAGTATAAATCAGTACTTTACCCTGTGAAGGAGCATCATGATCGGACTGGTCTCATCCAGGATTCACACGTCCATGGAGTCACTGGATGGTTTCATATGATATGAATCACAGTCACCAGATCTGAAGCTATGTGGAGATTTTTGACAAATACATTAGACAGTAATTAACCTCAGCATGTTTCTGGACGGGCTGCAGGTGGATCAGTGGTTAGCTCCGTGGCCTCACAGCTAGAAGGTCGCCGGTTGGCGTCCCGGTGAGGACACCCGGGATCTTTCTGCGTGGAGTCTCCATGTTCTCCCCGTGCAGCGTGGGTTCTCTCCGGGTTCTCCGGCTTCCTCCCACAGTCCAGAAACATGCTGAGGTTAATTGGTGATTGTAAATTGTCCGTAGGTGTGAATGTGAGTGTGCTTGGTTGTCTGTCTCTAAGTGTAGCCCTGTGATAGACTGGTTACCTGTCCAGGTGAACCTGCCTTCACCCTGAGTCAGCTGGGATAGGCTCCGCCCCCCATGACCCTAGTGAGGATTAATCAGTGTATAGATAATGGATGGATGGATGTTTCTGGACTGTGGGAGGAAGCCGGAGAACCCGGAGAGAACCCACGCTGCACGGGGAGAACATGGAGACTCCACGCAGAAAGCTTGAGGACATCCGGGATGCCAACCGGCGACCTTCTAGCTGTGAGGCGACGGTGCTAACCACTGAGACACCTTCATCTAAACACTGAATGACAGAATGTCTTTTGGTGCTCATGTCTCCAGCAGAGACTTGGAGCATCAATGCCACGATGCATTAAAGCTGTTCTGGTGGAGCTCGGTGACCCAACACCTTCAACAGGACTTCTTATTGTGTTTTTTCCTTTCCTTCGTCGCCCCTCTGTTGCTGGAGAATTGCTGGCTAACTTTTAGCACACGAGCTAAATGACCTGTTGACTCCTTGGTGTGGTCAGACATGTCCTCCTCTTTTCTTTGTGCCATAAGACTCACAGCTGGAACGCTTCAAATGCATGAATCAGCATCAATCCGTCCCGTTCTCTGAGTTAACTCCCAGGATGCACTTTGGCATCGAACCTCCAGTCATAAGCCTAAAATCCGATTGTCTTTGTTCTGTAGCTCCACTGATGGAAAAACGGATAATCAATTTGCTTTTGGATTCAGCTTTAGTTATCGATTAATTCAGAAACTTTGGAAGCTACACAAAGTCAAAGTGCTTTAATTATGCTGCGGCTCAGATGTGAGCATCTGATTGGCTGTTCCTCTACCGCAGGGCTGCAGAGCACCGCCGGGCTCCTGAGCGTTGTCACCGTGACAGTCTGACACATGGCCACTGCATTAACCTGCGAGCCCGTGTTCTGTGCTGAGTACCATTGACTTGATCCATCCATTAGCTCTGCCCACTTGATCCGGTGGAGGGTCGCAGGCGGCTGCAGCGCATCCCAGCCGACGCCGAGAGAAGAGTCGGTCGCAGGCGTTTAGCTTTCAGATGGAAGCACAGAAAAACACGCCTCCCACATTGATTTCCTGCAGCACAAGAATGAATCGTATGAGACGTAGCAGGACTTGTGGGATCGACCTGAGATGCACGGAGAGAAGTTAATGCTCAGTCTGCTGCTAATTCTTCTGTCTGGTGGTCACTTATGGTTTTGCAAGAGGAACAAAAATCCCTGCAGCCCAAAAAGCATTTCATACGTATAAAGAAATCAGGAGGAGGGATGGTGAAAATATGTCAGCAGGAAGCCACAAAAATCTGTTAAAATGTGTGAAAATAACAGTTAATAGCTTCTGTTTGTAGTTAAATACAGTGAAAGCGTCTGATTGTAGAGTCACATGTTGTAAACAGAGGAAATACTATTTATAGTTCTTTATTACAGGTAATATGTAAATTATTATTTTCAGTTATTTCATTAAATATCATCTATGATTTAATATAATTGGGGGGAAATGATTTAAAAATTATTTACTATTTTTCAATTCTTGATATACGTCATTTTTCTTTTAAATAACAGCAAATATCTGCAAAACATTCGTGTTTTTGTTGATTTAAATGCAGTAAAATTAGTGTCATTTGTGATCAAGCATTGTCTGAATTTATAAATATACTGATTTTTGATATAATTTACACTTTGGATTGTTTTTCTGATGAACATGTGAATTAAAACTCTTTTGTGTGATTTTACGGGTTATGACCTGTAATTTACAGGTAACAGCAAAATATGTGAAATGACAACAAGTAGTTTTTTAAAATGTGCATTTTTGCATCCTAGTGTCTAGAAAGTGAGTTTGATTTGTCTGACGTCACCACAACATAACGTTTAGAGGTCAGTGGTTCACAGGAAAATCCTTTTTGGGCTGCAGCAGAGTGACCGCTGGGACAGATCATCTGACTGCTCATCATGGTGGTACCGTTGGGCTGTTTGTGGAACCTTTGAGTCTGTTCCAGATGCTAGAACAGCTCCTGCAGAACCTCTTTCGGGC